TTTGTCTTACTTTTCCAAGTTTAACGATACACACACTAACGTGTAAAATATAGATTCTGCTGGATCACTGGCTTCCTAGGCGACGTTAACCAAGAAAACGCGCTGTCTCTTCGCCTCCTTCAGAACATCCAGGATCTTTCAGGTTTTCCGCCGAGGATCCGCATCGGTGGTGATACCCAGGATGTTGCGAATTACTGCGATGACTGTACTCAAACCCTCAACAATACATTCGCCAGCAATAGCGAAATAGGTCTATTTGCCAATACCGAAGCTGCTAACGTCACTTTTAATAAGAATCTGTTCAGAGTTCTCAACGAGAACGTTCCGAGTGAGCAGGAGTATACATTTGGACTGAACTTTGGCGAAAACAACATTTCGAACACCCTGGCAGAGTTCAAAGCTGTTGAACAATACATGAATCTCTCACGAATTACAGCCTACGAGCTAGGTAATGAACCCGACTTTTATTCCGCCTACAGGCAATTTCGACCATTGAGCTGGGACATCTTTTCCTATGCTCAGCAAACAGCGAGCTTCCTAACAAAGATAACTGCTTCATTAAGCAAGACAGAGGCAAAGAGATTCGCCGGATATATGTCCGCATCCTTTGCCAATGCTCCAGTTGATCAAGGCGACTTCTCTATAAGTTCATTGATTAAGATGGGAATTAAAGAAGTTGTGAGCGAGATTAAGATCTTTAGCAACCATTGTTATTTCGGAGATGTTTGCACGCGTAAGTTCCTTATATTGCTTTGTCGCCGTGTTTTCTTACTGATAATTTTGGGCGTTTAGCGGCAGATGCAGCTCTGGTGTCTCTCCCGGTACTTTTGAACCATATTCATACGTTTCAAATGGTGCAACAATTCACATCAGCGATATCTGCTGCTAAGTCTGTGGGCGCTCAGTTCTTTATGGGTGAAACAAACTCTGCTGCCTGCCACGGATTGGCAGGTGTCTCTGACACTCTTGGAGCAGCACTCTGGATGTTGGATTACTCGTTGACCGGTGCGACTGCTGGCATGGATGGCTTGTACTTCCACAACGGAGTCGGTTTTCCTTACAGTGTATGGCAGCCAATTGCAGTTAATGGCACAGCTGCACATGCAAGTGGATTGTGAGTATTTTCTAATGCAGCCCGTGCCCATTCCCATTCCCATCATTTCTGACCTGGACTGTTTCTAGGTATTACGGATTTCTTTTATTCGCCGACCTTGTATCAAATCTTGGCCGCACGCCAGAAATTGCACCAATACCTTCCCTAGATGCTACTGACCTTGCACATTACGCTGTGTATTCTTCCTCGTCCAACCTTCAAAAGCTGGTCATCCTCAACCTCGACTATATTAATGGCACTAACCCTCGCACATACAAGACTTTTGACGTGTCTGCTGAGTTTGGAAAGGATTTCACTGTTAAGAGACTATCGGGTTCCTCTTCCATTGCTACCCAAGGCTTGACTTGGGCAGGTCAAACCGTGGATGGAAATGGGCACCTAAGCGGGGCTAAGGTTGTTGAGAAAGTCACAAATGGAGTGGTTTCTATCGGATCTTCCGAGGCGGTTATTATTGAGAGGGTTTAATAGATCTAATAAGACTTCAGGTTGATGATGTATCTCAGGAGAATAAAGACGTCTATTTGAACTTTACTACTAATGCTCTCTAAAGCTGTCGACTTTTTGACCAGGGTTAGAACTTTCATTACTCCGACATCATACCTCCATCAGTTTTAGGCACCTCAAGCCATTAATAGTAGCAGAATCATTATCGCTTTATAGCTTTCCTAATGATGATATTTTCCGATCCTCTGTCGACATAAAACATTGTTAGCCACACCCGCGAAAGTAAACAACTGCCTGGAAATCCCCGAAGCTTTCAATCAAAAAGATGACGCAATTTCCGTCGGTCATTCCGAATCTATGATATCTGCAACCCTGGGTTACGTGCCATCACTTTACTGTGTTTCAGTTATACCCATACAAAAATCGATGATTTTTCAGATCCATTCCAATTTAGAGTTCCGTTCTATCCGTCTAGTAAAAACTTACAGCAGCGAAATTTTATCTAGCACTTTATTAGTGAGCAGGGTTGAGACCCTTCACTAGTAATTGCGCTAAAATCTGACCCTCAAACATGGGGCCCCCAAAAACACAGGGGCCAGGTTTGATCATTCAATCAAGGCCGCTGAAAGCGAAATCGAAAAGCCCAGCGGCGTGCAATAATTTATAACCTGCGTATGTGCTCACGTAATTATTGTATTTTTGTTAAACCTAGCCAAATTCATATTAACATCCAGGGTAGGCTAAAATACGAGGCCATGCTCAAATGATCAAACCCCCAATCCCAACAGCTAATAGACCGAGTGCCATAAGGACCCACTGAGCACTACCTCTACTCTCGAAGCTATTTACGCCAGCACTCTTTGTCGGGGTCGTAGTGGCTGCTGACGAGGTTGATGAGCTACTGCTCGCGGCTGATGAGCTACTGCTCGCGGCGTTAGGTGGCCCAATACTGCCACCTTGAACGACCGACGGGGTAGGCGGGTTTGAAACTTTGGCAGCGCTAGCTTTGTATTGGTCAAGCGATTCTGAAGCGTTGGATCTAAGTTATGATCTTATTAGTCGTTGCTATAAGACGAATGCGACATTCGAAACCTACGAAGGATTAATGACCCCAGCCATGCCAGTCTCACAATGAAGTGGGGTTGCACAGAAAAACCAAATTGGATTTGTATCATTAACGATGAGAGTAAAAACGTTGGCGTTTTGTCCACTTGCAGTAGTAATTGCTCCACTCCAGAATCCTGTTCCATTGGCCAAAGGGGCGCATGGAGACTCGAAAGTGGACTGGGTGACAGAATGGATAGGCGGGAAGAATACAAATTCAATACTAGACCCAACGGCCGCTGTAATAGTGTCTGGCGAGAATGCGATCGCATTGTTATCACCGACGGTTACGGTTTGCACCCCGGGAGCAGAGGATGTTGTTGCAGACGCTACAGAGGTTGTGGTGGAACTACTTGCGGTTCCTCCACCTCCACCATACTGCGCGAGGGCAAATGGAAACAGAGAGAGAAAGAGTGGCTTGCTTGAGAAATGCATATTTAATTATATTATTTGAAGCTAGAAAGAGGCAGTCTAGAAGTTTGTTGATTGATACCCGTTAAAGTAACTCTTATAGGTTCGAGAAAGGTTCGGGGCAGGTTGGGATTTTTAAGTCGAAAGGGTAGAACAACAGATATTTATGACGTGGGGACTTTCCCCTATTCGATGGATTTTGGGTGAGGTAGGTACTCTCTAGGAGGGCCACACCCTACGTCAGAGTGACCTACATATGTATTACCACATACCTAATTACTGCCTAGCTGCTATTGCCGCCAAAAAAAAACCGCGGTTTTCTAAAAGAGGTTTGTAGACAAAGCGGCAAGCTTTGCTCACACGTCTCCCACGCTACCAAATAATGGACCCCCTTGTCTAACCTGCTAATGCTTTTTCTCAACGCAATGGACTTGCTCATCAGCATTTTATCAGCAATTTGTCAGCCTACGCGGCCTTCGAAGCTCGGATACGAGCGTATCCGAGCTGTTCTACGGCGTGTCAAACGAAAGTTGATAAAACAGCATCGTACGCGGCCTTCGAAGCTCGGATACGAGCGTACCCGAGCTGTTCTATGGCGTGTCAAACGAAAGCTGATAAAACAGCATCGATGCGAACCCAAGAGGTCACCATCTTTGCTCTAATGCCCGGCAATATTTCTCTCGCATACTTTCTTCTTCGGATTTTGAGAACCTTAGGATTGAATTAACAAGTCTAATCATGATGAGGATTCACAGACTCGCACTGGCGGCGCTTATATTAGCATTTAGTAAGTCGACAAGAAGAAGATGGGAGCAACTGTCTAACCTGTAATCAAGCATCGGAGATTGTTTTTGGCCAGGAGGTTCATGACCAGCTCAATGCAAGAGACGTCCACCAGAAGCGGAATCTCGATTCCTTCGAAATCTTTAACCGGAAACGAAACGCGCATGCCTGCATCATGTCGATTGTTTTCATTGTACTTTTTCCCCTGGGCGCAATCTCCATCCACCTGCCCATTGATCGTGTTCCTTACTTAAAGAATACATACCTTAAGAAGAAGGTCATGGCGATCCACGTCCCTATCCAGGTGCTAGGCTCCGTTATGATGGTCGGCGGAATGGCCCTTGGGATTAGAATCGGTCAAGATCTCGGCTACCTTAGGCACCCTGTGCATGCCCATGTGGTCATTGGCTTCGTCGTCGTTTGCACCATTATCGTCTTCCAACCCATCATGGGTATCCTTCAGCACCGACATTTTAAGAAGAGAGGGGACAAGAGCATCTTCGCCTACCTGCACCGATGGATAGGACGTGGTGCAATTATCCTAGGCATGATCAACAGCGGTCTAGGTTTTCAGCTGGCCCAGACTAATGTAATAGTATCCACTGGGTCGTATATTAGAAACTACGTCCTCCTGGGGTTTTTTGTGTCTATCTGGCTTAGTCTCGTCTTGTACGACGAGTTTAAGATGCACCAGTCGAGGTTCGTCACAAGTGGAATCAGGAGAGGATGCAGTAAACGAGATATAACAAGAGAGCATCATGTGTAAAAGCTCCACCAGAGATCGTGCTTAAGAGGAAGGTTGCCAGAAGCGGTTCTTAGAGAGCGCTGGGTGGACTGAAAGAACACTCGTCCTTCGGTGGAATAGTCATTGGCTTTGGCTTTGTGGGTCCGGGGATTACGATGTTAAGTCTAACTAGTTAAGCGTTTTACACTCGATATCGGGTACAGGGATGGGAGCAATTGAAATCAGTCACGTGGTTTTCATGGGCAACCACGTGCAACCACGTGACTGCTGTCGCTCTGTGGAGAACAAGTATATGTTCTAGTTAGCCACCACCACGTCGTAGTTTTCGAAGGCGGACGCCTAACTGAAATGACACTGGTATATAGTCTTAATTTACAAAAGCTCACTCATACAAGAAAGTCCCTCGTGGCGCAATTGGCTAGCGCGTTCGACTGTTAGCAAGATTCTGTTATCGAGAGGTTGGTGGTTCGAGCCCACCCGAGGGAGTTCATTTTTTGCGTTTCTCATTAATTTTTAGTGGGAACATATCATTTTTGCCCTACTAAAATATGGCCAGAGCGCATAAAAGGTACGTACCACCACCGTAGGAACTGGCTCCGTCTAGCCAAGACAAAAGAGACCAAAAGATAATCCGGCAAGGGCGGCATCTACTAGTAGCACAGGGGCCATTCCCCATCTTGGCCCTGTTGGCCCCTCTAGGAGAGCACTTCACAATAGTTGGCGTTGTTATATTTTGCCAATTAACACGCTGATGGGAGAGAGATTTATATATACGGATTGATCTTTAGGAATCATTTCACCACGCCACTTCTCTACTCATCCCGATAACTCCCCATTGAACTTCGAGAGACCGAGTACCAGAGTTCGCTTTCTGCAGATCCTAGATTCAGCCCCGAACCAGGAATCCATAATTGACAGCCTTGCCAAGAAAGCGCCTTACTAGGTGTCAATATTGTGGGGAATCTACCACGCCGCCGATTCTATTTTCAGCTTTCCTCCTCCTCGCTCGTGCTCTTTTCAATTCCCAAATATACCCGGCCTCTCTATATTTCCACTTCTCCTGTCAGCTGAGTTACTGTCCAAGGAATTGTGCGCTTAGGATCCTCAAAGCGTAAGCAAGCCACTGTTGGAAGTTATTGGTAGACCAGCAAACAGGACGCGGGACGCAACGCCTCAATTCAACTTCAGCCGCACATCACATTGCCACTCGACGGCTCAGTTCACTCTCGTTAATCCTCTGTCGACGACCAAATATACTTCCTCCAACTGAAGTCATCCTTAATCCTGCAAAAGACTCTCATATCTCTTCCTAAACCGACAAAATGGCCGACGCCACACCGAAACCAGAGGAGCCCGTCTCCAATGACGGACCAGCCTCCAACGACACCCAGCAACAACAAGAAGAACCCAATTCCCAGAACGAAAGGTCCGAACAAGAGCCAGAAGCCCAAGATGGTGGTTCCCACCACCCAGATCAGGAATCCGAAGCCATAGAGAAGCGCTCGAAGAAGGGCAAAGTGAAGGACAAGGTCGAGGAGAAGAAAAAGAAGGCCTACGAGATGGCCAACCCCCCGGGCGGGTACGACTCGACGCCCGTTCCGTCAGCCCCAGATGGATATACTGTCAAGTTCACATTCATCCGCGCCGAGAACCTGCCCATTGGCGACCTGGGCACAGCGTCTTCGGACCCGTTCGTGGTAGCGACGTTGACGAGCCATGGGATTAAGCCGAGACACAAGGAGGACCCTGAGATGAGGTTGCGGACAAGGACAATTCAGAAGGATACCAATCCGGTTTGGAACCAGGAGTGGATCGTGGCTGGCATTCCGAGCAGTGGCTTCAAACTCAAGTGCCGCCTCTACGACGAGGATGCCAATGACTCGGACGACCGACTCGGCAACGTGACGGTGGTGGTGCCGCACATCAGTGAGAATTGGGAGGGCATGCGCGAGGCTGGCTTCCCGGTCAAGAAGCGGATGGGCAGCTGGCGCGCATATCTCTTGAAGGGCATCACGACGATGTGTGGCAGCGATGGGGATCTCTCGGGCCAGCTGTTCCTGAGCATGGAGGTGCTGGGAAAGAGCGATAAGCCGCATGGTAAGATGTATACCGTGGGACCTACGAGATGGACGAAGCACTACAGTCCCATGATTGGCCGTCTTGCTGGCACCAAGGCGCCAAAGGTCGAGGGACATGAAGGCGAGAAGGCCAAGGTTGAGAGATACGAGTAAGTCCGGTCAACTTCAATCACCATCCCCAAACTAACACCCGCCAGTTTCCAAGCCAACCAAATCCAACTGCAAGGCCCCGTCCCCGACGAACTCTACCACCGCTTCGTCGAATTCAAACCCTTCGTCAAAGGCATGTTCGACAAGACCGGCCTGCTCGGCCACGTGCTCGACGCCGCCCGGCACCACCAACACGCGCGCGTCTACAACTACTCCAACACCACCACCCACGGCACCATGGAGCCCAAATCCCAAGAAGCCGCACTGCAGTTCCTCAAACTCGCGCACCTCGCCGACGGCGGCCGCCTCGTCACCTACGTCCTCACCCTCGACGGCCTCCTCCGCTTCACCGAGACGGGCAAGGAATTCGGAATCGACATGCTCAGCAAACACACCATGCACAGCGACGTCAACCTCTACATCGCGTGCTCGGGCGAATTCTTCATCCGCAGACTCAAGGACAAGAATAGCAGCCCCGAAGACCCGAATCAGCAGACCCACCCTACCGATGACATCGACGGCGGACCGCCCCACTCACCCCCGCCCAAGGACCCAGCGAACTACGAACTCGTAATCGACAACGACGGCGTCACGTACCGCCTCGACGGCTCGCTCCTCCCCAAACTCCAAGCCTTCCTCGAAGCCAATCTCCCGGGTCTCAAGATCGTCACGAAGCCCTGCACTGACGACAAGCTGCAGCGCATGAAGAAAGAGCAGCGCGAGACGAAGAACGAGGCGACGGAGAGCAGGTACAGGTGTACCAGGGCGACAGCGATGGGGGGTGGAGCTCCAGTGATGAGGAGAGCATGGATGAGCGCGAGCACGGGGAGGGAAGAGTAAGAAGGATAGGATGTTTGAGGCGATTGAGGACCCCGAGGCCGCGATTAGGGGGCTGAGACATGGGGGGAGGGCGAAGAGGGAGGAGAGGGAGGAGGAGGAGGATAGAGTGGATGATACGGTTGAGGCGGGGGAGGGGGCGGCGAAGAAGTGAGGCGAGATTGATGGTGAGGGTGGGTAAGTCGGACGCGCGGGCAGGTTGAGCGTGACGGCTTTGTATATGGGCTGCTCTCTTTTAATTGCGGTTGGGTTTCGTTTGTTTGGCATGGCTTGAGCTAGATGCGTAAGGACTGCGCGGAAAATCTTGTTTTTTAATACCCGGACACCCTGGTGGGGGGTGATATACACGGCCTTGCGGCCATTTATGCGTTTTCTTTTTATCTCGGGGAGGGAAGCACGTCTTGCTTGAGAGCCACTGCGAGGGTGGGTGGTATATAATGTTTTATTGCGGTGGGAAAGTGGAAGGGAAAGCATATGATGGCTTTTTAGTTTTAGTAATTATAGCTATTGCTTTGTATAAATTCGTTTTCAAGATCACACTCAGGCCCAGTAATTACTTTTGAACCATGATGACGAAGGCAAACCCAACTCGCAAGATGGGAAAATTTCTAGGAAGTAAAGACGCTCTGAAGATCGATTGATTGACCCCGAGTTGGAAATAGTATTAATAACCAGCAGACCTTTCTTTCCAAGCTCACCCATCACCGACCATCCATTCAGTTACTTTCATTTACTGGAAGAATTGCCAGACGGCTTTGACACGCGTGGTCGCGGTGTGATTCTGTTATGGCGCAGCTACTTACTCTCCGGCAGTTCTCAGAGGACATTGGCACTCAGCGACGACAACAGATCGGTGACGGTGACAGAGTAATGACAACAGCAGCAGCAGTGTTGTGACGACAACAGAGCGGCAGAGGGATATTTCTACACTCCACGTCGCGGTCCGAAACCCACCCCGTGGTCAAGTGCGAGCTATTCCCAAGCAAAGGGGTGAATTCTGTGGCTCTATGTTTTCCTGTATATGCTGCGATAATCTGGAATTTTCGACCGGATATATACATGATATTTCTGACCTCGTTGTGTCGTTTATTGTAAGGCATCATTGGGGGAGGAGAGGGGGTTCCTTTCTATGATGCTCTGCAATGTTATATTTTCTCAAGCTGCAAGTGTACAGCAGGTCCTGTAATTACAATAATCGGTTTGGCCTGAATTGGAAATAGTTTAAATAACATCATTCGGGACCTAGATAGATGTTTCGAAGCAAACTTGCACCGATACAGGTATTTCCATTATCCTGGGCCATTCCCAGACGACTTTGGCGCGCATGATGGCGCGACGAGTCCGTTTTTACAGAGCCACCTACACTCAAGGCGATCCCCACGGAGGACGTTAGCACGCAGTGGCAGTGACAGGAAAGGAGCGGCTACGGCAACGGAACGGTGATGACAGAGGAGTGAGTGGTGACAGCAGGGAGGCCGGGGACAATGTGCTTCTCCGCCTAAGGTAAGCCGTCTCGCGGCCATAATGGACGAGAGCAGCCGTAATGGACGAGAGCAGCCGGAACTTCTGTGTCGGGGTCTGTATCAGGGTATTCGGAATTGCCTCCAGTAATGTGAAAGTTCTCGAGTTGTTTCTCCATAAGCTCATTAATCTCCTGATCGACGTCCTGGTATTCTGAACCCTCGTCGCCCCCCTTCAAATTGCGTTTCCTTGGGGTTGCGGATGATGGTTGAACAGGTTTCGATCTGCCCGTCCGTGGAGGAACGGAGGAGTCTCGCCCTGCACTTATTGGCGCGGTGCAGATGCATACACGAAAACCCAGTCAGCAAAGCAGCTTCTGGCTGAGGTAAACTCAGTCTCCAATCAATCAGTTTCTGGTCAATCAATATAACACCGTTATGAAGTCCTAGTATACACGCTGCTCTACCCCATACTCGTGCCAGGTCTAGAAAACGCCAATCCCCCTTCCTCCCCGCCTAATCCTGCTTGAGCGGCTTGTAAATCTCCTCAATCCCATCCTTCGTAATAACCATCATCAACAGCCCATCACCAACCTCAATATGCCTCTCTACCGCGCTATCAAACGCATCCTTCACCAAATCCTCCACCACATCCCTCCCCAACAACACCCTCTCCCTCTCCTTCAAGTTATGCCCAACTCCACTCCCCGGCTCATACTGGTTCTTGAAGTTCACCTGACTGTCCAGGAACGGCATGATCAAGCTCGCCGCCGCACCACCCGCACGACACTGCTCCCTCTCGTAGCTGCCTACGGGATCGTAACTGTACACGGCGCCCTTGCCCTCCTCATCCAAGCCGCGCGAGGATCGCGTGCGCGTAGTACGGAAAAAAGCGCTTCTGGTACAGGATGATCGACAGCCTCTGCGCCGCAGCCTTGACCGTCATAGCCTTGCCGTGCTG